ACGGGGGTCAAATCATCCCAGGAGCTTGCTTCAGAAACAACAAAACTAACTCAAGGGTGGTACCCGTAAGACCAGGATTTCCCGGCAATACGTAAAAGAAAAGCCTCAGCATCGATCAAGATGTTTCCTCCACTCGGAGGCGAAAAAGATTTCTCTCGATTGTCAAAAAAACAGAAGAGACTTCAAATACAAAATATGACACTCTGTTTTCTCAACTTTTCTGCGGCAAAACGGCGATGAAAGCTGCGGTCCAAATTCTTGACGAAAAGAAAGAATGGTTAAGAACTTATAAAAACTTAAAAAGTTAAAACAACATCAATGGAAACATCGATGAAATCCGCGTTCCCATCTTCTTACGACCATCATCCTCGACGCACAAGAAATAGTCTGTTTGTTCAATCTTTGACACTTTCTCGATATTGAACAAAGGACGGACCAGGGCCAGACCCCGTGTGGAAACTGGGGACATATGTCCACGGCGGGACCAAGCAGAATTCAGAGATCGCAAAGTACCAAAGGGCCTGTGCAGACCCTTACACCACCAGTACATCGCCCCAGGCAACTGTAGAACCTGTGTTGAGCCTCTCCCTGGAAAGTTAGGAGGCTGAGCGCCGAATAGATAAAAATGAATCGGCGGTGGGCAACCTCCGAAAGGGGGCCGCGGGCGACAGCTGGCATGTACAGGTACTTGGGCCCAGGCACCTGGGCCGCAGGCCTGACACCTCACATTCTGGAGGCACGAAACGCCAACGCAACCGCCGATCAAGTACATCAATGGCGGGCCCAGCGTTTGTCGTTTTGGCCTTGTTTTTTCTTGTGGCGAGGAGTTTCGGACTGCAAGGTTTGGGCCGTGTACTTGTGGTTTAACAGGATCAGCCTGTCAAATATGATTTTCTCCGGCCGTGGGGGCCGCCCGGGTAAACTGGGCAGGCCAAAAAACGGCCAACAAATAAGGGGCTGTGACAAACTGTTTCGTCGGAGTTTATATATATTGAAACCGGGGTCGTTCTGCGCTTGGCGAGAGGACCTGGAATCTGCAATAAAATTTTGGGTTTGGGCGGGGGGTTTTGGGTGCTGGGGTTGGGGGGGTGTCTGTGATGTGACGCAGATGCACTTTTCTTTCTGT